TCATTTGTACATTCTTCATCAATCGTCTAACAACGACTATCTGCGCCGAAACATGTTGCGAGTAAAATATGGAAAACATTAATCTGTGTTATGGTAACCTATCAATTTCTATTTGCAAGCACCACAAAAATGAGGCAATATTGCATGATCAGACAGACAGACAATCATGGCGGACACAACAACAGCTAGTAATAATTCTGCAGAGGATTTTGTGGATTTGACTAAAGAGGAATTTGATTTTAAATGCGAAGGTTGCATTAAATATAAAATTGAGTTAACGAAAGTTATTTCTGAATTAAAATCAGCAATGAAAGTTATTGCAATCCTGAGGGAAGACCAAAAAACTGATGTATTAATGGATAGATTAGTCACAAATGCACGTAGCCATGAAGAAGTTTTCCAACTATCGCTAAGTGCTGAAAATTGGGCACACATACCTGTGCATTCACAAGAGATGGATTCTGTTAGCTCCAGTAAAATTACAGAAACAACGATAAGAACTACAAATAGTTTTGGAGTCTTACATAACCTAGAAAAGGATCAGCCTACGCAAATCGAGAAGAGTAAGACGAGAAGTCACAAATCTAATGCAACGAACAAAGATTTAACTGCAAAGGAACCTATTTCATCAAGGACTAGTAGATACAAGAAAGCAGAAAACCTGCTGCCAGAATTTAATATACCTGTGATAGTGAATGGGTTGTCCCTTGTAATACTTATTCAAAGTTTTCAGAAAACGAGTGGTCTGCAGTTAAAAGTGGTGACAGTGATACTGACATGCAAATTTCAAACAAAAACGCAAGTCTAGAGCAGAATCTTTTAGTTGATAAGACTAAACATTTAATTTTATTCATTGGTGATAGCCATATTAGAGACTGTGTAGATAAGATCAAAGACAACTTAACTAAAACGTCCAGAGTAATAGGATTTGTCAAGCCAGGAGCTGACATAAGTAACTTATCTACCACGGCAGAGTCTATGGTTGAATCCTTGACACTTAATGATGTAATAGTTTTTTCAGGTGGAACTAAAGAAATAGGAAAAAATGATTCCAGAGAAGCATTAAGAAATATATTGAATTTTATCAAAACTAATTCTCATACAAATATTGTTCTGTTGAATATTCCACATAGGTACGACCTGGAAAATTGGTCATGCGTGAATGAGGAGATAAAAGTTTTTAATAGGAAATTAGTGAAATGTACCAAAGGTTTTAGGCATGTTACTTTATTACACCATGATTTAAACAGAGCTCTCTTTACAAGGCACAGACTCCATCTTAATAAAATGGGGAAGAACGTACTGGTTAGGAATATTGCCTTAATTTGTACTAAAATCTTTTACAGAGATGCAAAACCAATCTATTTGCCTTGGAAGGCAATCAATAATGACCATGATAATGAGATTAATAATTTTTTTGGCATAAAAGATTGTACTGTTGATAATGTTATGTTAGAAATAAGTAAACCGCAAACTCCCGAGCCACAACGTAAATCAAATAGGCAAAGAAAATTTCCACTAGATAGATATGATGATTTTTTATGGTAGAAGAAAACCAGTGTAACAACCATACTGAAATCTTAAAGAAAAATGGCTTCTCAATTTATCACCAAAACATTTGTGGCCTTGCAAATAAGACTAGTGAAATTTATGCCCATCTATATCCTGAACTTCCGCAAGTGCTTTGTTTCACAGAACATCATCTAAATTATTCACAAATTGAAAATGTGACCATAGCCAATTACAACTTAGGAACTAGTTATTGTAGAAAGTCTTTTATTAAGGGAGGTGTATGTATATATTTACACAACTCTCTGGATTACGAACCTGTCAGCATTAATGAACTATGTATAGACAAAGCCATGGAGGTGTGCGCTGTTAAATGTAAATTTTTATCTAGTACATTCTGTATTCTAGCCTTTTATAGGTCCCCATCTAGTAATTTTTCATTATTCATTACCCAGTTAGAAGCTGTCATCAACAAAATTTATAAACCGAATTTATTAATGATAGTCTGTGGTGACTTTAATATAAATTATCTAGAAGATAATAAAATGAAGCAACAATTAAACTACATACTGCAGTCTTTTACCTTAAGTAGCGTGGTTTACTTTCCAACCAGGTCTTGCACCACTACTCAAACATTGATTGATAATATCTTTATAGATATAACTAAGTTTGAAAACTATTTGATCTCTCCAGTATTTAATGGTCTGTCTGATCATGATGGGCAACTTTTGTTTGTACATCAAAAAGAGATCAGTAGGGAAAGGACAAACCTTAATTTCAAAATTATCCGGACATTTAACAACTGTTCACTAGATGATTTCAAACTAAGTTTAAGTTTTGAGACTTGGGAAACCGTATTTAATGCTGTGGACAATAATATAGATAGTGTGTTTAATAATTTTGTAGATGTATATTTGCAGATATTTAATGCTTCTTTCCCAAAAAGAAAATTTACGAACATTTTTCCTCCAAACAATGGTTAACCACTGGAATAAAAACTTCCTGCAGAAGGAAAAGAGAATTATATCTTTTGGCAAAATTTCATGACAATGAAAATCTAAAGCAGTATTATAAATCATACTGCAAGATTTTAACTAAGGTAATAAATGAGGCAAAAAGACTTAGCAATGAGGACAAAATTACCAACTCTAATAATGTTGCCAAAACCACTTGGAACATTATAAGGGCAGAACTGGGTAAAGATTGTTCAAAGGGTAAAATCTGCAATACAGTCCAAATCAACTCAAGTAATTTTAATAATTATTTTTTAAACGTTGCTGATAATATTACTCAAAAAATTTCTAGCCAATTTACCTCTGTTACTGATTCAAATAACAAATACAAATATTATTTGAACCTGGCTGCTAAGGGCCCTTTTCCTAAAATCATTTTCAATAACATAACAACGAAGGAAATTGAAAAAGTTATCTCTTCTTTACCTTCCAAAACTCTTCTGGATACGATGAGATTTCATTGAAGATGCTAAAAATAAGTGCCCCATACATTTCTTCCCCGTTATGTTGTATATTAAATAAGGCAGTATCAGCTGGTAAATTTCCCTTACGGATGAAATATTCGATTGTTAGCCCTCTATATAAGAAGGGAAATAGAGAAGATTGTTCTAATTATAGACCAATCTCCTCGTTGACATCATTTTCCAAGGTGTTTGAAAAAATTATCTTTAGAAGATTATTAACACATATCTGTGCTAATGATATCTTGGCTAGTGAACAATTTGGATTTCGTCCTAACCTTTCCACCGAGACTGCTTCATATACTCTATTAAATAAAATATTAACAGCCATCAATAATAAAAATAAAGTAGGCGGAATTTTTTTTAATTTGGAGAAAGCTTTCGATTGTGTAAACCATGAAGTGCTTCTATATAAACTCGAGTATTATGGTATAACTGATAATGTATATATGTTAATAAAATCATATCTCCAATATCGGTATCAGAAGGTGAAAGTTAGAAATGGACCTAATGATAAAAGTGAATCTGCCTGGGGTTTGGTCAAACAGGGCGTTCCTCAGGGGTCCATTCTGGGACCTTTACTGTTTTTACTATATATTAATGACCTACCCATATTTATTAAATATATGAATGCCAATGCAAATCCCCAAACAGTTTTATTCGCTGACGATACTAGTATAATCGTCAGTAATCCAAACAATACAGTACCGGACAGTAACCTGAAATCAGTCTTTAATAGTGTGGCGAAGTGGTTTAAGGCAAATTTACTCTCGTTAAATGTGGATAAAACTTATTGTATGAAATTCAGCCTTAAACATGCAAACAACTTTGAAACTCAAGTCACATACAACAATAAAATTATTCCCTATACTACTGAATTAAAGTTTTTGGGGTTGGTATTACATAATAATATGTCTTGGAAGTCTCATATTGAAAATTTGGCTGTTAAACTCACTAAAGCTTGTTATGGTGCAAGAGTAATTAGACCTTTTGTATCATTGAACTCCCTTAAGATGATTTATCATGCGTATTTTCATTCAGTTATGTCATACGGATTGATTTTTTGGGGAACCTCTTCACATAGCTCAATTATTTTTAAACTTCAAAAGCGAATGGTTAGAATACTAATGAAGGCAAGACCTAGGGATTCCTGCAGAAAATTCTTTGAAATATTAAATATATTACCTCTGGCCTCACAGTACATATTCTCCTTGGCTCTGTTTATGATTGCAAATAAAACTTGGTTCAGACAAAATTCTGAGATTCATAGTTTCAATACTAGGAATAATTCAAATTTTTTCCAACAAACGACTCATCTGACAATGTTTCATAAAAGTCCTGCTTATGCAGGTGTAAAGATTTATAATCATCTTCCAGATAATATTAAAGTATTGGCATGTGACAAAAGTTTTAAGAGAGCATTAAAAAAATATTTATATGAGCATTATTTTTATACTGTTGATGAGTTTCTTAAGCATAAAACTAGTTAACCACCTAGACAGCATAAAATCGTTGTTATATTTTATGGTCATTTATTATCTTTTTCTTGTTCTATGACTGCTAATTACAAACTGGTAGTATTTTATGCTCAAGTAGTTTTGTGGTCGTACCTCTATTAATTAGCATACTTTTATAAAATGATTGAACTTTCCACGACTTGAGTGCGGTAATAGATGTGCTAATATGGTATTAAAATTTCATTTCATTTTATATAGTGGATAACTTTTTATGTATGAAGTTAGATAATTTGAATTGTTTTATCTGTTTATTAATTCAAAATATTATCTATATTTATAATTTTTTTAAATTGTTACCTTGTAATATTTATATTTGCTTGTTAATCTTATATTTAATTTTGACAAAATCTTTTTATGACTGCATGTTTTTTGACTTCCTCTATACCCAGCGGCTGTACCAGCCTGGATTAACAGAAATGAAATAAATGGATGAATGAATGAATGATCATATTGCACTCTCACACAGGCCAACCTGCAAGGTAATTAAAATATTAACCAACCTTCACTACTTCAAGTAGATAATATACAAGGAAACCAGTTCCTAGGATTGCACCAAAATACCATTTGGATAACAACGATAAAATTTCGATTTTCGATATAATCCAATTCATGTTACAGACTTCAAATCTGCCACTCACTTGCTAGCATTAATCACTAAATGCGAGGAGCAGACTCCGTGCTAAATATTGACTGTATGGGCAACATACACAGCTCCGCACTACACAACCGACGTAACGTACGAAATGCAACAACCACTAGCGCCCGCTAGGACAGCTAGAAGCTAGAGTCGGCTAGCGGTCGGCTAGAGTGCACAAGCGCTCAGAACCCGCAGAGCCACCCAGCGTGCATTGTTGGCGTTCGTGTCTGGACTTGAAGAACTTAAGGCTCCCACACACAGACGCGATACGATTCGGGACGATATAGCACTGGGGACGAAAGAGGTTGTTTACCGAGTGGGCTGCGCACACAGCCGCGACACTCGGGAACCTCGGGAATCTTTGACACCCGATAACCAGCTGGCCATGACTCACACTCAATCATTATCTATACGTACGTGAAACGACATGGGTAGGCAGATGGAACAAATAATAGAGTTCGTCAAAGAAAATGCTTTATTGTACGATAATCGTCATCCGATGTTCAGGGATTCACGTGCTAAGGATAGAAAGTGGAAGGAATTGGCTGTTACAATGAACAGAGACAGCAAGTAGAAAAATTTGTATATATTTATATAGGGTTAAGTATTCAGTTAACTGTGGGCATTCTTAGTGTAGGCTATGCACCAGTTCCATTCACTAACACGAATTCCAGGGGCAGTCATCTAGTTGAAGTACGCAGCAAACCGCTCTTTAATGGCGTAGCTAACGTTTGCCGCCCTTGGGAGACGTAAAGGTTGGATAGGGAACATTTCTCCTTGTAATGGCTCCACTCGTAGCAGTTCTTCCCTGTACTTTTCCTCATGGTTTTTGAGACGTAGAAAATTATGAAGCAAACACGCTGCTGACACAGTGTGTTTTATATTTCCTTCTTTCAGTTCTATGGGTCTTAAAAAAATCCTCCACTTCATGGCAAGAATAGGCCTCCGCCAATTGGTATATTGTTTAGTGATATCTTGCCTAATGGCTCTCAGGATTTCATCAAACCTGTCAATATTCATCCTGAAATATATATAGAACCGTTTTTCGTCCTTCAGGAGTTGAGGTATCAGTGTATAAAACTCCCCCAGTTCCTCTCTTGACAAGTTTATATCATGAACCCAAGCGATTCGTCTCTTTCGCCTAAAATACGAACACACATAGCAACCACTTATACGTACTTAATTAGATACTCGTTATTGAATTGTAAATATTTGTACATATATATGACATACTGTATATTTGGAGGAAAAGAACTACGCAGATTTAGTGTTCAGTAAAATACTTGCCGGGATTCACCTTCGTCTTCATCAAGAGCGACAGCTAAAAGCAAAACTTCTTCCTCCAAAGACGCATCCATGACTATTTACCGCTGCGATACCGAGCGGTCTACCGAGTGCGCACGGTAGACCGAAATACCGAGGCGATATACCGACTGCGATAATATCGCGTTCCTCGGAGTACCGCGCCAGTGTGCGGACCTCCATTTACCGCAATGTAATTAGATATCGTCCCGCACTGTGATAGAACTAGCTAGGCCGCGCCATAGCTCAAGCGGTTAGTCGCTGGCGTCGCTGGCTTCCCACCGCGGCGGTTCGGTTTAGATTCCGGGTTTGGTCAAGTGGGATTTGTGGTGGACAAGGTGGCGCTGGGGTAGGTTTACTCCGATGTTTCCCCTGCAAATCTTGATTCCACCAATTGCTCCACAACCACCCTCATCTGGTACAATAGGCCAGAAGTGACCGCAGTACAAGAGACTTAGTCCCACCCGACTAGAAATAAAAAAACAATATATGAACTAGCTGGAATAGCAGGCGGAAAGCTGTGCAATGTGCGATGTGAAATACTATATGAATGGTGTATGACGTATTTAAATGATAATAATAATGATGCCAATTATAAAATTGAATAAGAAATGCACGAATTTAATTATTAATTCTGAATTGCATAGTACACGGCTGGGTACTTAACAATGAAATTACGTACTGCAGTGGTTCTCAAACTTTTTACCTCTGAGGGCCCCCCCCCCGAGGAGAGAAAATACTCTCAGACCCTCAGGCTGTTTTTATTTTAACAAAATAGAAGTCATTGTATGTTTCACGTTTCATTCAGTTTATTTTATGTTTTTCTACATACTATTTAGCAGTTTTCTTACTCAAAATTAAAGTATCACAATATTATGCCTAAAATAAAAATTAGTTTTAACACTTGCAATTAATATTATACAGTAGAACTTGGTTATAACGTCATCAAAGGGACCTAAAAATAGTGTCGTTATAAACGAATGTCGTTGTAACCGAAATGGGCACTTCCACAGTAGCCTTATGTTAGTCACGTAAAAATCTACCAAAAACCGAGTTAAAATGTTGCATTTTTTAGTGAAATACGTAGTTAAGTACAGACTAACGTAACATTAACGTGGAATTAATATGGATTCTCCATATCGTTTGTACTGTAGAATTCACCAAACCAAATTCGCGGCATACATCAGCTTTTTTCCTTCCATTTTCTATTTCACGAATCACTTTAACTTTCTCTTCAATGCTTAAAACTTTCCTTTTCATTGCCATGTTTTCGCTACTGCACTTCTCTGGGTTTAGGCAGGAACACTATAGGGTAAGTAGACAATGTGAGGTCCTGTTAGACGAGATTCTAGGAAAGGAATGCAGTTAA